GAACTTAATCTGAAACGCGTTATTATTCCTTGATTCTGTCTCTAAAGAGTTTATGTGAAGGAGCAGCAATATCGAGGGGATTCCCAACCTTTTAAAATTTTTCTATATTGGAAAGGCAAAAGACTAGCTCCAACTGCACAAAAGATACCGTGTGACGTGATGTCTTCAGAAGCAAGGTTTTACCAGAATGAACAGCGCTCGAGTGATATGTAAAACCTAGACAGAGTGTGTAGTGAAAAACTCAATGTGTGACAGTTGACTGTACAAGACTATTTGTTGGAGCTTTTTTTAGGTAGCCGCTTGAATACTCTAGAACCTCACACCACGTTCCAGTGTCCTTGCCCACGGCCCTTTTCGACTCCTCGTATATGTGACGGGTGAGAGTTTGTGTATTAAAATGTGATTATGCCGTGACGGCTTACTGTAAGAGCCGAATGCCGCACTGAATGGTATGCCATGCTCATGCCGCTTCACGTGGTTAGCCTTCAATTGAATAAAAGTACATACGTGAAGTTGGGTATGGGTACGTTCACCCAGAACTGGATGGACGCGGCAAATCGCGCGGCGAAATTCGTGGCGACTTAAACGACTTTAGCGATAACATTGGGGCCCTAATTTGAAGTAGAGTAGATTGGTAGGATCAGTTGACCATACTAATCTACTATACTTGAAATTTGGGGCCAAATGTTAGGCGCCAGGGTCGTCCGAATCGCCACGCACTTCGCCGCGCAATTTGCCGAGTATATCCTCGGACCCACGTAAGTTCCGTCCTCCGGTGTGTGTGGGGACGAGGGATAACGTCCATTGCGCGTGTCCGTCGAAAGTAGGTCACCTCGCCCACTTCGCGCGAGGCGCATCACACCGATGTCTCGAGATGACATTACAGTACCACAAGGTGTCATTGGAGAATCCTACTGAGCTACTTTACTTCAAATTTGGGACCAAATGATAAACGTTGCAGTCGTCCGAATCGCACCGAATTTCGTCCCGCAATTTGTCGCGCGCTACCAGAATAGCACGAATCGCAAAGCACCCGGGTGTGTGTACATTCGTGCAATTCGAGCTGCGCGCGACAATTCGCTCGGCAAAATTCATAGTGATTCTGACGAATTTAGCGCCTATTATTGTGGCCCAAATCCGCAATAAAGTGAATTAGTAAGATTAGCTGACCATACTGATCTGGGGGATGGGACTTACGTGCGTCCGAGGGTGCGCGCGGCAAATTGTGCGGCGAAGTGCGTGGTGATTCGAGCGACTCTGGCGCTTGTCACTGTGGTCCAAATTTGAAGTAAAGAAGATTAAAAGGATCTTCTTGCCCTACTAAACTAGTCTACTTCAAATTTGGGCCAAAATGTAGGCGGTAGAGTCGTTCGAATCACCCCGCACTTCGCCGCGCAATTTGCCGCGCGCATCATCGGACGCACGTACCCCTACTGATCTACTCTACTTCAAGATTAAGCTGCAATAATAGGCGCTAGGGCCGTTCGAACGGCCACGGACTTCGCCGCGCGCAGCTCGAATCGCACGAATGTACCATCCCCCTCGCATGGGGTGTATGTCAAGTCGTGCGTCCGAGGGCGTGCGCGGCAAGTTCGTGACGAATTTGGACGACTCCGGCGCCTATCATTGGGGCCCAAATCTGAAGTAGGGCCTACCATTCTACTGTACTTCAAAATTGGGCCCAAATAATAGGCGCTAAAGTCGTCAGAATAGGTATGAATTTCGCCGCGCAGTTTGCCGCGCGCGCCCTCGGACGCACGANTTGACCGTCCCCCCTCCCCCACCCACGGGGGGACGGAACACTCACCCAGAACTGGATGGACGCGGCAGATGGCGCGGCGACATTCGTGGCGTTTAGGACGAGTTTGACACGTAGTGTTGGGGCGCAAACTTGAAGTAGGGTAGATTAGTATGGTCAGCTGATCCTACCAATCTACTCTACTCCAAATTAGGGCTCCAACGATGGCACTAAAGTCGTTCGAGTCGCCACGAATTTCGCCGCGTGCTTTGCCGCGTCCATCCAGTTCTGGGTGAATGTGCCCATACCCAACTCCACGTATGAACTTTTATTCAATTTCGAAGGCTAACCACGTGAAGCGGCATGAGCATGACATTCTAATAGGTTCCACGTTTTGTACAGAAACGAAAATTCAGTGCGGCATTCGGCTCTTACAGTAGTCCGTCACGGCATAATCACATGTTATTACACAAATTCTCAACCGTCATATATACGAGGAGTCGAAAAGGGCCGTGGGGAAGGACACGGGTACGTGGTGGAAAACCTTCGAGTTTACTGTAAGAGTCAAGTGCCCGTACCAAATTTTCGTTTCTTTTTTCGCGCCGGAACCTTGTCACGATTTTTAGGCGTTGGTTGTTCACTTCTTTTTTTATTTCAAATTTGTCTTCTCTCATCTATCATTTTGATGACTTCTCAACTGGGCTTCCGTAAAATGAGGGTATGCACATTTAGTTCTAATTTAGAACAGTTCGCACCCTCAATTTGTTGACTGTTGACCGGTCTAAAAGTCCCAGCTGAATGAATCTCGATCCTACAGTTCAGAAATTTCGTTCGTTCTGAAATAGGAGAGAATGGAAAAGGAAAAAATATCCTGAGGCCAGCCACTGTTAAGTCAAAGTCTTTTCGCTTATTCACACGAAATTGGTACCACTCA